AATCTGAAACCTTTACCGTTCTTGACATTTATTATGCAGCTGTTTGATGAACTGTTCCATATATGCTAATTAGGTTAAGTTTATTAATCATGTCATTCAGATCCTATATATCCCTATTGCTTTTTTTCTGTATGTTTTATCAGTTATGAGAGAAGGGTGTGTGTGACTTCCATTATGATTGTGGTTTTGCCTCTTTCTGCCAATTTTTGCTTTTTGTGTACTTTTTTTTAATAGATGTTGATATGGTTTGGCTCTGTGTCACCACCCTAAATTTCACCTTGAATTGTGCTCCCATAATTCCCACATGTTGTGGAAGGGACCCAGTGGAAGATAATTGAATCATGAAGGCAGTTTCTCCAAAACTATTCTCATGGTAGTGAATAAGTCTCATGAGATCTGATGGTTTTATCAGGGGGCTCTGCTTTTGCATTCTCCTCATTCTCTCTTTGCCTGCTGCCATCTATGTAAGACAGGACTTGCTCCTCCTTGCCTTCTGCCATGATTCTGAGGCTTCCCCAGCTACGTGGAGCTGTAAGTCCAATTAAACCTCTTTCTTTTGCAAATTGCCCGCTCTCTGGTATGTCTTATCAGCAGTATGAAAACAGACTAATACAGATGGTGCCTTGCTTCCCAGGCTGGCCTCAAACTCCTGGACTCAAGGAATCCTCCCATCTCAGCCTCCTGAGTCACTGGGACTACAGGCATGCACCATGGGTCCCCGCTTGCTTTGTGTGTACTTTAAAGATATAATGTTGTTTCCAAACTTTTTGGATTATTTGTCATCTTGAAGAACCAGCCATTTTACCATTTAAGATACCCCTCCTTACCTTTGGGGATGTTTCTTATTATTAATCTACTTTGAGATTAATACAACCACACCAGCTCTCTTGTGCTTACTGTTTACACGGTATGTATTTTCCATCCTTTTGCTTTTAGCAGTAGTTCTGTTGTATTTGAAGTGTGTCTAATAAATAGTATGCAGTTTCTTCCTATTTCAACAGTCTGTTTTTCATAATAGTACTTTGGTAGTTTTAAAATATGTCCACAGGCAGGATGTCAGCAAAATGACCAATGAGGAGACTCCAAGCTCTCATTTTTCCACGGGAACACACACAAAAACTGTATGAGCCAACTTTGCATAAGCTCTGGAGAATAATAAAAGGTTATAGCTCCTAAGAAAACATCTAATCAAAAAAAAAAAGCCACCTGAAAAATGATAGAAAAGTTTCGTGGTGGTTTTCACTCACAGTCTCTCCATCCTATTCCAGTGTGGCAGCAGCCTTGGTCTTGAGTGTCAGAAGTCAAGTCTCTACTTCTTTCCCTCAAACTAGAAGGAACACAGCAGACCCTATTTGCAAATTATTATTTTTTATTGCATTTTAGGTTTTGGGGTACATGTGAAGAACATGCAAGATTGTTGCATAGGTACACACGTGGCAGTGTGATTTGCTGCCTTCCTCTCCTTCACCTATATCTGGCATTTCTCCCCATGCTCTCTCTCTCCAACTGCCACCCCCCATTGTCCCTCCACTATTTCCCCCCAACAGACCCCAGTGTATGATGTTCCCCTCCCTGTGTCCATGTGTTCTCATTGTTCAACACCCACCTATGAGTGAGAACACTTGGTGTTTGATTTTCCGTTCTTGTGTCAGTTTGCTGAGAATGATGATTTCCAGGTTCATCCATGTCCCTACAAAAGACACGAACTCATCGTTTTTGATGGCTGCATAATATTCCATGGTGTATATGTGCCACATTTTCCCTGTCCAGTCTATCATCGATGGGCATTTGGGTTGGTTCCAGGTCTTTGCTATTGTAAACAGTGCTGCAATGAACATTCGTGTGCATGTGTCCTTATAGTAGAATGATTTATAATCCTTTGGATATATACCCAGTAATGGGATTGCTGGGTCAAATGGAGTTTCTATTTCTAGGTCCTTGAGGAATCACCACACTGTCTTCCACAATGGTTGGACTAATTTTCACCCCCAAATTATTATGTAAATCTGTTGTAACCTGGCTAGGGAATACCTAGAGGACTGATGTAGGGTGCTCATCTCTGTATGGCATAACTCAGAATGCAGGAAGAAAGAGCAGTGGGCACTTTTCCCCTTGTAGTTTGTAAAGCTATAGGGGAACTACAAGTCAACGGAGGCTTTAGGAAGAGATTTCAAGTGGAGACAGACAACAGACCATCTAAGGCCAAGAGGAAAAGCTGGGGTGAGACTCTTTGGGAAATTAGGACATGCAAAAGTAGCCACATATATGGAAGAATTTAGTAGTTCACACGTGGTCAAACAAGATGCATGCTCAGAAAAGATCTGAGATGACATTAAGTTTTCACTTCAGGCTGAATCCTAGATTCAGAGCAAGCCTATCTAAGCAGCAAAGGAGTGCCCCAGCACAAAACCCATCTGCAAAGACTAGAAGAGGAGTTTTTCACTATTTTATGCGTCTTTTGTGAGGAGGGCTATTGTTTGGTTGTTTCAGCTCCACACATTCAAAAACTCTCTGTGAAAACATCAACTAAACCAAGCTAAAATAGCAGAGTGATCACACATGGCAAGGGCTTTGCAAAAATTGTTTGAAAAATTCTCAAAACAGACTACTATAGCCTTTGGCAATCAGAAAGAAAAAGAGCAAATGTTGGGAAAAGAAGAAAATCTGTTTTTCAGAGTTACCACAGTATAATAGTCAAATACTCAATATTCAATAAAAAGTCACAATGCATAGGAATAAAAAAAGAAAATATGTCTTCTTCAAAGAAACAAAGTAAAAAAACAGAAATCATCTATGAAGAAACCCAGGCATCAGAATTACTACACAAAGACTTTAAAACAACTGTACTATGTATGCCCAAAGAGCCAAACAAAACCACAAAGAACTAAAGGGAATCAGAAAAACAATATATGAACAAATGAGAATATAAATAAACACATAAAAGTTATGAAAAAGGAACCAAAGAAAAATATTGGAGCTGAAAATTACAAAAGCTGAAATAAATTTACTAGACAGGTTCAACAGCAGATTGAAACAGACAGAAGAATGAATCAGCAAACTTGAAGAGAGGCAACTAAAATAGTCAAGTGTGAGGAACAGAAAGGAAAAACAAGTTAGCTAATTTTTTTGTGCCTTTTGATTTAAAGTAGATCTCTTGAAGACAGTATGTAGTTAGGTATCAGAGTGCATTTATTCATCAGTCGTTGAGTCAGGGTCTGCCGGACAGACCTCCACAGGTGATGATTGACATCTCAGGTGGTGACCCCGACATGATTGAGGTCTTTAAGAAAACTGTAGACCAATATCTCTTATAAATATTAACACAAAAATTCTCAACCAAATACTAGCAAACACACTTCTTCAGTATATTAAAAGGATTATATATTATGACCAAGTAGGATTTATCCCTGGAATGAAAAGATGATTTAACATATGAAAATTCATCAGTGTAATACATCACAGTTGTATAATAAAAGATAAAAACCAAGCAATAATCTCAATTGATGTAGAAAAAGCATTTGACGATACTAAACACTATTTCATGATAAAAAAATAAAAACTCAGTTAAGCTAGACAAAGTAACGAAGATAATATTTACAAATTGTATATCTGATGAGATTGCTATCTAGAATATTTTTTAAGCTCCTACAACACAACAAAAAAATTCAAAATGAACAAAGGACTTTAAACGAACATTTCTCCAAAGAAGCCATATAAATGGCCAATAAGCACAAGAAAATACGCTCAGCATCACTAGTCATTAGGTAAATTCAAATCAAAACCACAGTGGGATACCCCTTCATGCTCGCTAGAATGATTGCTATCAAAACAAACAAACAAGCCTGGCATGGTGGCTCAGGCCGATAATCCCAGCACTTTGGGAGGCAGAGGAGGGTGGATCATTTGAGGTTAGGAGGCCGAGACCAACCTGGCCAACATGGTGAAACCTCATCTCTACTAAAAGTACACAACTTAGCTGGGCAGTAGTGGCATGCATCTGTAATCCCAGCTACTCCAGAGGCCGAGGCAGGAGAATCACTTGAGCCTGGGCAATGGAGGTTGTGATGAGCTGAGCTCGTGCCACTGCTCTCCAGTCTGGGCAACACAGTAAGACCCTATCTCAAAAGCAAACAAAAAAAATAGAGAATAACAAGGACTGGCAAGGACTTGGCAAACTCAGGACCCCTGTGTCACTGCTGGTGGGAATATAAAATGGTGCAGATGCTTGGAACACAGTTTGGCTGTTCCTCAAGAAGTTTAACACAGAAATACCATATAATATAACAAGTTCACTTCTAAGTGTACACCTCCAAAAATTTGAAAGCAACCACTCAGACAGGTACTTGTACATTAATGTTCATAGCAGCATTATTCACAGTAGCTAAAATGTAGAAAGAACCAAGTGTCCAGTGATGGATGAATGAATGAAAATGTGATATATACATACAATGGAATATTCTTCAACCTTAAAAAGAAGTCAAATCTAATATATTCTATAATATGGCTAAGCCTTGAAAATACTAAGTGTTTGCCAGATGAAAAATGACAAATGGTGTATGTTGTACCTAGAATAGGCAAATTCATAGAGACAGAAAGTAGAACAAAGGTTACCAGAGGATTGTAGAAGGAAGAATGGAAAGTTATTTTTTAATGGGTACAGAACTTCTGTTTGGGACTATGAAAAAGTTTTTGAAATGGATAGTGGTGATTGTTACACATTGGGAAGTCACTAAGGCCACTGAATTGCACATTTTAAAAGTGTTAAAATGGTAAATCTTATGTATATTTTACCACAATTTAAAAAGTTTTTAAAAACTCCTTTTTTAACATTTTTTTTAAACTTTAAGTTCTGGAATACATGTACAGAACATGCAGATTTGTTACATAGGTATACATGTGCCATGGTGGTTTGCTGCACTTATTGATCTCTAAGTTCCCTCCCCTTGCCTCCCACCCCCAACAGATCCTGGTGTGTGTTATTCTCCTCCCTGTGTCCATGTGTTCTCATTGTTCCTACTTATGAGTGAGAACGTGTGGCGTTTGGTTTTGTGTTCCTGTGCTAGTTTGCTGAGGATGATGGCTTCCAGCTTCATCCATGTTTCTGCAAAGGACATGATCTTATTTCTTTTTATGGTTGCGTAATACTCCATGGTGTATATTTACTGCATTTTCTTTATCCTGTCATTGATGGGCATTTGGGTTGTTTCCAAGTCTTTGCTGTTGTAAATTGTGCTGCAATAAACATATGTGTGCATGTGTCTTTATAGTACAATGATTTATATTCCTCTGGGTATATATCCAGTAATGGGATTGCTGGGTAAAATGATATTCCTGATTCTAGATCCTTGAGGAATCACCATACTGTGTTCCACAGTGGTTGAACTAATTTGTATTCCCACCAACAGCGTAAAAGTGTACCTATTTCTCCACAGCCTCACCAGCATCTATTGTTTCTTTGCTTTTTAATAATCACCACTCTGACTGGTGTGAGATGGTATCTCATTGTGGTTTTGGTTTGCATTTCTGTAATTATTAGTGATGTTAAGCTTTTTTTCATATGTTTGTTGACCATGTAAATTTCTTCTTTGAGAAGTGACTGTTCATAGACTTTGCTCACTTTTTAATGCGTTGTTTGGTTTTTTCCTGTAAATTTGTTTAAATTTCTTGTAAATTCTAGATATTAGACCTTTGTCAGATGAATAGATTGCAAAAATTTTCTCACATTGTGTAGGTTGCCTGTTCACTCTGATGACAGTTTCTTTTGCTGTGCAGAAGCTTTCATTTAATTGGATCCCGTTGTCAATTTTGGCATTTGCTGCAATTGTTTTTGGTGATTTCAGCATGAAGTCTTTGCCCATGCCTATGTCCTGAATGATATTGCCCAGATTTTCTTCTAGGGTTTTTGTGATTTGGGGTTTTTTATTTAAGTCTTTAATCCATCTTGAGTTAATTTTTGTATAATATGTAAGAAAAGGATCCAGTTTCAGTATTCTGCATATGGCTAGTCAGTTTTCCTAGCACCATTTATTGAATGGGAGATCCTTTCCCCATTGCTTTTTTTTTGGTCAGGTTTGTCAAAGATTAGATAGTTGTAAATGTGTGTTGTTATTTCTTAAGTATCTTCTGTTTCATTGGTCTATATGTCTGTTTTGATGCCAGTACCATGCTGTTTTGGTTACTGTAGCCTTGTAGTATACTTTGAAGTCAGGTAGCACGATACCTCCAGCTTTGTTTTTGCCTAGAATTGTCTTGGCTATATGGGATCTTCTTTGATTCCACATGAAATTTAAAGTGGTTTTCTTTAATTCTGTAAAGAATGTCAATGGT